ATCACGTTTGTGAAGAAGTTGTCGCGTTTGCGAAGGGTTAAGCGGAGGCAGTCTGAGTTTGGCCTACGCGAACGCGAGAGGACGGTTGCATTCGCGATGAAGAGAGCACCTGGGCAGAATGTATAAAAACCCATCTACGCGATTTTTAGCCCATTTCTCACAATTTTTGAACGGTTTTGAAGCTTTTTGAGAGGGATTGAAGAGGGATTCGAAGGGAAACATTTGGATATAAGGTTTTTGAACTCAATACTCGATTCTATGGTGATTTCTAACTATTTAGACGTGAAATTAGTGGCATCTAAAGCCTAAAATTGGGGAATTAGGGCTTGAAATTGGAGAGTGTAAATTTGTGATTGAGGGGCCATTTGAGGTCCGATTTTGATGTTCTTGGTATGTATGGACTCGTGGGAGGATGAGGATTCTTGTGATGTGATTTTTATCAAATTCCAAGACGTGGGCCCGGGGGTCGGGTTTGGCCAATTTCGGGATTTTTGAGTTAAATTGATTATTTTCGCTTGGGTTTTGTTCCTTTAGCGCGTATTAATGGTGATACTAATTTTGGTTAGATTTGGAGCATTCGGAGGCCGAGTCGAGAGGCAAAGGCATCACGGGCTAGAGTTTGGACCGGGTTGAGGTAAGTAATGATTGTAATGTTGTCCTGAGAGTATGAAACCCCAGATTTCACATCGTTGGGCTACTTTGAGGTGACGCACACGCTAGATGACGAGCGTGTGGTCGTGCACCGTTGGGGATTGTGACTTGGTTCGCCCCGTATGACAATTAAGCCGCGTATTTAATTGGAAACTGTTTGATATTATTATATTTTTGAAAGTATTACTCCCTCCGTTCCAATTTATGTGAACATGTTTGACTGGGCACGGAGTTTAAGAAAAAATAAAGACTTTTGGAATTTGTGGTCCTAAAGAAGTCAAAAAGGGGCCCAAAGTATTTGTGTGGTTATAAAAGCTTCTCATTAAGGGCAGAATTGTAAGTTTAAGTTAAATTGTTTCCAAATTTAGAAAGGGTTTCTTTTTGGAACAGACCAAAAAGAAAATAGGTTCACATAAACTGGAACGGAGGGAGTACTATGTTTGGGGCTGAATGCCGTGTTTGGGCCTTGTGCCGACTGTTTGGACACTTAGGGGCTTTTTACTACTATTCCCTCACCGTTTTTGATTTAATACTTACACTCAGTCATGCTATGCTTTCACTGATTTCATAACTTGGTTTTTATTTACTCCTTTTGATTCTATAAATGATATTTTTAGCCGAGTACCTGTTATACTGTTAGCCCGAGGGGCTTGAGTGAGTTCTGATTTAGTGAGGCCGAGGGCCTGGGTTGTGAGGATATCATGGGATCGGGATGCGCGCCGCAGTAGGTTATAATGATTTGTGATATAGGAGAGGCCGAGGGCCTGATTTATTATGCCACTAGATGGCTTGTGATAGCGCTTGAGCTGTAGGAGCCCCTCCGGAGTCTGAACATTCCCAGTGAGCGCGGGTACCCAGTGTGAGTGATGTGATGTTGCCCGAGGGGCGGTTTTTGTTTCATGTTGTTGCCCGAGGGGCTGATTACGAGCGATTGTGAGGTAGCCCGAGGGGCTGGTTCTGTTGATATTTTGCCCGGGGTGGTGGTTTATGGTACATGTTTTGCCCTAGGGGCTGTTACGTTTCTATCATTTTACTCATTGTTTTACCACTTGTTGAAACAATTGAAAGATGTTTTAAAAAGGTTTTACTGAATTGAGTTGTTTTTACGAGTTAATTAATTTACTGTATTGTTCTGGACATATACTATTTGCTGTAGTGCTATGGCGTGGAATTACCTGTATTCTTACTGCTCAGCTGCTTTTACTTTTATTACTTACTGGGTTAGCGTACTCACATTACGCCCTGCTCCTTGTGTGCAGATCCAGGAGTCTCGGGACGCGATAGTGAGTGCTGATCAGTCTTCTAGCAGGTCTCCGGAGTTGGCTAGGTAGCTGCTTGGCGTTCGCATCCCTGCACTTCTCCTTCTTATCTTTTCTCAGATTGTCTTAGTACTTTAATTCAAACTATGTTAGCCTTTCTTGTTCTTAGACGAGTTTGTAGTTGCTCATGACTGGTGACACCCAGATGTCGGGCTTGTGTTATATTTTCGAACTGCTTATTTAAACTTATATTATGGGATTTTAGTTAATTAATGGCTTAAAATGACTTCTTATGGCTTTCTGGATGGTTTTGGGTTTGTGTCGGCTGGCCTAGTTTCACGATACGCGTTATCACGACCGGTTCAGTTTTAGGGTCGTGACACTTGGACACTGACATCAGATTAAATTTGAAATCAGGAACATGTAGTACATTCTGCAGTTTATCAACAACTGACATATATGAACTCCCAACATGTTCAATCTTTGTACTAACACCATTTGGCAGTGTTACTTGATCTTGTGCCATGTCATCTACTCTTCTTACATCACTCATTAAGTCTAAAGTAGATGATATGTAATGTATTGCTCCTGAATCTACAATCCAGTCATCATTCTTTTTGTTTGAAACATGCACACTAAAAGATAATGTAGTAATTATACATGCAACAGTTGCTTGATTGTTAGTCTTAGTGTCACTTGGTGGTGAGTCTTTGCCGAGCAAGCCTAGGATTTGCTGGTACTGTGGTTCTGTGAAGAAATAGTCTCCCTTAGATTGTGATGCTCCTTGTGAACTTTGAGTCACAGATCCTTCTACGTGATTTGCAGCAGTAAGCACTCCTTTAGGTTGAAATCCTTTCCTTCCTTTGAAGTCTTCAGGATATCCAATGATCTTGTAGCAATTTTCCTTTGTATACCCTCTCATGTGGCATGTTCACATTGTAGATATTGTTTCCTTCCTCGAAAACCTTGACCTCTCCCTACTTGCATAGCTAATGGATGTGGCTTTTGACCCATGACTCCACCTCCTGAGCATTATTGACTCTCATCCTGTATTATTAGTGCATATGCCTGATTAAGAGTTGGTTCAGTAGTTTTCATCAATATTTTCCCGTGAGCCTGATCATATGTGTCATTTAGTCCATCTATGAACTGCATAAACCTTTGTTGCTGAAAATGAGTCATATGCTTTTTTGATTTTGGATAACCGCAGTTCGGGGACGGTACCGATACATCATATTCTGCCCACAGATCCTTTAACTTGGTAAAATATACAGCTATAGAATCCGACCCTTGCAATAATCGCGAAATTTCTCTATGCAATTGAAAAACACCATTCGATTCACCTTATAAAATCGCTCTTATAGGTCTTCCTAGACCGCACGACGTCTGATGCATAGATGATCCCACTAAGCAAATCCTTTGAAACAGAGTTCATAATCCAGCTGTGCACTATTGCGTTACATGTTTCCCATTCCTCACGGAGATTTTCCTTGAACGACTCCTTGGCACAAGCTCCTATTACAAAACCTAATTTCCGCTTAGCTTTGAGGGCAAAACTCATCGATCTGCTCGACAATCCGTAGTTTTCCGAACTTGTGAGGTGAATTGGAATTAGAACCAAGCCCGGCGTGTCTGAAGGTTGAAGAAACAACAGATGTGTATGATTGATCTTCTCCGTCGCCATTGACGCACCAATTCGAGCAAGCAATTTTTCTCAATTGAGAAATTACAACAACAAAATATCTGAACTGAAGATTAAGCAACTAAAATTGACTAATCAATTAGTTGAGCAAAATTAGAAAGCTTGACGAACCAGTCTTCATGGCTCTGATACCATGTCAAAACTTAGCCGTTGAAACAAGCTGAAAACGTGAAGAAGAAGAAGAAGAGAGATTGGGAAATATTCTAACTAACATTTTACAGCCCTAACTGATTCACTATATACAAAGTAATTAGGAAGACTAAAAAGTAATAGTAGAGACCCCTTACTTCTAGTAATTACAATATGGCCCAAAATAACTAACTAGTACACCTAATAACTTCCAATACACTCAAAATGATCCTAACGAATAAAGCAAATCTTCAAGAGAACCATTTCGTCAGACGGGTCGTTTGGTTGCGAAACAAGTTATCCGAGAATTAATTATTCTGTGATTAGTTATCTCGAGATTATTATTCCGCTATCACATAGGAAAAAACTAACAATAATCCCGGGATAACTAATTTCGAGATTAGTTATACAACGATTTTATTTCAACCAGATGTAGGATACACGCATCTCAAATTTAATTACGAGATTAATCATCCCTTATCTCTCGTACTAAACGAGCCCTAAGAGTAGTGTACATATATACTCCAACCCAATGATAAATGTCATCTATATCTAACGAAACAAATCATACGAAACGCTTTTGACAAAAAGGTACTTTTGGCCCAAAAAGCATGGTCAAACAAGCTATAAGATTAATTATTAGAACGCCTAATTTTCATCGTAAGCTCAAAAAAAAAATATTTTATTTTCTAAATATGAAATCTACAAAATTTAAATTATTTCAAATTTATGGCCAAAGAAAATGTGTGAAAATAGCACGGGCTAGCTAGTTTCAGACTGGTAAGTGAAAAATAGCCAGTGTTTGCACAAAGTCATTGAAAATAACCATTATTTTGCTGCAACACAGAAAGTTCCAACATAATATACTGGAGATTGGTGTACATGTGTATGAACTTCCAGCATATTATGCTGTAACTCCAACACACGAAAAGTTTCAGCATAATATACTGGAGATTGAAGCACATGTATATGAACTTCCAGCATATTATGTTGGACTAGTATATTATACTGGAACTCCAGTACATTATGCTGGAATATTTTTTGAATTTTGAACAGTGTTTTCGTTCAGATTTATCTTTACATGAATAGTGATTAAATTTTGATTACTTTTGAAACAATAGCTATTTTTCAATTACCACTTGTAAATCTGGCTATTTTTGAATTTCACCCGAAAAATGTAATTATTTTACTTCCATCTGAAAAAGCCCACGATGACTGTGATCTTACCAAGCCCAAATTTTATTAAGGCCCAAATTGGGTGTCTGAAACCATTCATTGAAGCTAGGGTTTTTAGTCATCTTTCATCACTACAAGGTAGAGAGTAGACCAGTGTGAGGAGTGAGGTCGGCTGCAAACATGGGTAAGTATCTGAAAAATTGCCTTTTTTCTTCATTTTTCTTCTCTTTTTGCAGATTCATTTTCTGTTATCTGCGTTTAATTTCGTGGAAAACTAGTTGGAAAAAAAATGACGAATTTAATAATTTTATGTGTTTTTCTAATGTATGTAAAGGTATCTCAAGAGATTCTATGCACAAGAGACGTGCCACTGGTGGAAAGAAGAAATCTTGGAGGAAGAAGCGAAAGTCAGTTTATTCGTCTTTTTTTTTTTTCCCTCCAATTTATTTTGTGCATTTTCCCTTAAGTCTTGTTTTATGAATATACATATATAATGCATTAGATGTGTGTGGTGCGTGTGCGCACCTGCTGAGCTTGCATATTTTAGGATTGAGATGTAGTTGATTGTTTGATATGTACGTGCGCCAACCCCAACTAGTCTGGAGTTGAAAAACAGTTGGTTGGTTGATTATAGTGTGTGTATGTGTGTGGGTGGTGGTGGGGAATTAAACATACATATGTAATGCATATATGTGTACGCATGTAGGCAGCTGTTGAGCTAACCTTGTTAGGGATTGAGGCGCAGTTGATTGGCTGATTGATTGATGTGTGTGCGTGCTCGGACCCCAACTAATCTGGGGCTGAAATGTAGTTGACTGATTGATTGATGTGTGTGTATGCGTGTGTGTGTTTTCATTAGCCTGTCTTTTGCTAATGAAATGTCGAGATTCGCAATGTGAGTGTTGATTCATTTATTACCATAGTTTATTGGTTTTAAACGAAATTCGTGATGCCTAACTTGTACAAAAAAAATCTGTTATTGTGATTCTTTCGATTGCCTTTGAGAGAACAGTGCGAGCTTCTGAAACAATGGCGCTCTCGTCCCGTTGCGGGCATATACTGATTTCGAGTCCTTTCTTCATCTCTGCAGCTGAAATCCATCGATTGCTAAAATAGAAAGGCCTCACATTTGCTTCTTTTTTATTGTTATCTCATTTTCAGTTTTCCTTTTCAAAAAAGGAAATTTGATGCCAGCTTTATGATTCTTGTGTTTATTGCCTGCATTTCACTCTGAATTCATTTGGTTGTGGGATTGTTCAATCTGTGTTCTTAGGGGGTTATATTATGACTGGTCAAATTTTGCAGAGTTTCATATGATGAAGATTTGACTGACTATGCTGTTATATCATTATGTCATAATTGTAGTTACTTGCGAATCAGAGTACTCGTAGTAGTTTATTGTGTATCCCTTTTTATGTGTAAGACAAAAGGACTATTGTGGAAGTTAAAATCTGCCAAAAAGTAATTTCATAGTAGAACACGATGTTATGGAAAACCTATTATGCACACCACGATTTCAGGCTGCATATGGCGAGTGTGTCAATTTGCTTATCCTCTTTTTATTCTCTAAAGGTATGAGCTTGGCCGCCAACCAGCTAATACTAAGATCTCAGGCAACAAGACAGTCAGGCGAATTCGTGTGCGTGGTGGTAATGTGAAGTGGAGGGCACTGAGATTGGATACTGGAAACTATTCATGGGGTAGTGAGGCAACCACACGCAAGACTCGTATCCTTGATGTGGTTTACAATGCCTCGAATAATGAACTTGTCCGCACACAAACACTGGTCAAGAGTGCAATTGTTCAAGTTGATGCTGCACCATTTAAACAGTGGTACCTCCAGCATTATGGTGTTGACATTGGTAGGAAAAAGAAGGGAGCTGCTAAGAAGGAAACTACCGAGGTACCTCAACATAGTCACACTTCTATATTTAATTTTAGCAAGTATCTATAGATGGCTTATTATCTGTCATCCTAGATTTATTTTTTCATCCAGTCTATTTTTTTTTTCTTTTAATGACTCAGTTCTGTGATTTCTGATTCTTTTGTCCTGCATTTGGAACATTTTTGTGATGTGAGAGCAGTGTATGACTTTTATCCTCACATATATAACAATAGTTTTCTGCAACATTGAAGGAGGGAGAAGCTACTGCTCCAGCTGAGGAAGCTAAGAAGAGCAACCATGTAGCCCGGAAACTTGAGAAACGTCAGAAGGATCGTAAACTTGATCCTCACCTCGAAGAGCAATTTAGTTCTGGTAGGCTATATGCCTGCATCTCATCTCGCCCTGGTCAATGTGGCAGAGCTGACGGGTAAAATCTTAGGCTCAACAACCTTCTCCCCATCCCAAGACCCCCATGAGAATATCGTTGCGCTTCGTTCCACTTGCTGATTTTGCCTTGACTGAAATTGACAGGTACATTTTGGAAGGGAAAGAGTTGGAATTCTATATGAAGAAACTTCAAAAGAAGAAAGGCAAGGCTGGATCTGGTGCTGCTGCTTAAGAGGAACTTTTTTTTGTTTTTTTTTGAGAGGGTATTTTTACTCATAGGCTGTTTTTTCTTATCTCATGTGACACTATAAGTTGAGACATGGACTTTACTGTTACAGCAATCTTTACTAGAGGTACCTTAATGTAATTCTATTGCATTAATTAGATTTCTTGGTTCTTAATTCTCATTTCTCTGTGTAGTCTTATGGAGAATGATGGCAAGCTAGATTTTACACTCTATCTTTTGTTTAGAGATAGTCACATTATAGAAACTGCAATTTAGCTAATGGTTGTGGAAGGCCATAGTATTTGCTAAAGCCCTCAAAATGGCATTGGCCTGTGAAGTTGGTTCCATCCAACTTGCTAGCGAATGTTAAAATTTAAAGTAAAAATATGTATCATTTAACTAACCATTCTGGTCATGCTACCAAAACATCACCAATGGTATAAAACATTAATTTTTTTTTCAATGGGTATTATTGCGATTTGCTGAAAATGTATAAACGAGGCTATATACAAAATTTGACGAAGTTTGAAAGCGAGTTAGAATACTTTGGAGTCAAAATTCATTATCAATGATAAATAATATTAAAAAAATCAGGCAAAGAAGGATTTTTTAAATGACTATACAAATCCTTCAAATTTTTCTGCGGCACATGTATCAAATGCATATATATATTTGCATTTGATACATGTATACTCATTTAAAAAATCCTTCTTTGCCAAATCACCTCCAAATTTTGAGCAAGATTAGAGGTGATTTGGACTGGTTTGGTATCAAAATTCATGGTTAAAATCGAGTTTAAAAAATTCTTCTGCGACATATTTATCAAATATGTATCACACATGTATCTCACACACAAGTATACATGTATTCACATTTGATACACATGATATATAAGTGATATACACAAATGATACACATACGATCATCTTCCATGTTCATCTTGTGTACTTCAAATTTGGCTCAAATTTCAATTCAAACCACCCAAAATCTCCACCAAATCGTCCCAAAATTGACATTCACACTCCTTAAGATGTACCAAATCTATTCTAACAATCCTGCTTGAAATAAATTTCAATTTTGAAAACTCAAAATTTTGAATTCATGCTTAAGCAAGCTTCAATAGTTGTCCATGGCGTTTTCAGCTTAATCATTCGATCCAATCCAACAAACTAATATTTAATGTGATTACTAAATTAAGTTAAGGTGCTCGATTCTCTGAATTTCAACTTAAATGAATTAGAACAACGCAATATTGCTGAAGTCTCAAAAAGTTTGAATTATGCTGAAGTATTAAAAAGTTTGAACTATCTTTATGTTTTAGCAAAATAAATGTGTTACAAAAATAACATTTGGGCTATTTTTGATAGATATTTTGTTTTGGACTAGCTTTGGTTGAAATTGTTCCTGGACTAACAGTTTCAATAGTTTTCCCTTGAAAAATATTAAAAAGAGGGGACAACCCACGCTCCACTTTCATATCCTTACCAAATATGCATCTATTCTGACTCTCTTCTATCTGCACAACCAAAATACAACAATAACAAATTTAGTAGTTTCCCACGAGTGTGAAAAAAGGCAGTCCGATGCATTAAGCTTTCGCTATGTCCGGGATTTGGGGAAGAGTCGGATCACAAAGGTCTATCATACGCAGTCTTACCCTACATTTCTGCAAGAGGCTATTTCCACATTTTTGAACTCGTGACCTCCCGATCACATGGCAACAACTTTACCAATTACGCCAAGGCTCCCCTTCCTGCACAACCAAAATACATGATCTTAAAATCAAATTATAGGAAGATTAAATCTAATGGACTAGGGAGTCAAAGCAAATTGTTGGGATTTGGAAGGGCATAGGCAAATGATATTGCTGGTTTGGTAGATTGTTACTTCCCCACATCATTAAATTAAATTGTGTATAAATGAAGTGTGGGAAAACCTTAAAATTCAGTGCTCAAATCTTAGCGGAGACAAAAGAAAAATGCAGGGTGATTTTCTTAGATTGCCTAAGCATGAGTGTGCAGAGTATCGATACCATGATTAAAAAATTTAATTGAGTACACTGTTCGTCGGTAATATCGTCTCTATTTATTTGTAGAGTATTTGAAATAAGACCACATGGGAGCTTTATCTTAAAAAAGAAAAACCTATTGGTATATTGACAAAATTGCAGTGAACAAGACTGTAATTTTCCCCAGATGGAATTGCTCATTTTGGGAAGCATACTTGATGGAAATTGCATGGATCAAATAATGAGTGAATGAATGAAATGCGTAAACTTTTGAATACAATTAACCAGAGCTATATTACCAGTGTTTTGAACATAAAACCTAAGAAACTTAGAATCTATTAATGCTTAAATATAATGGAATCTTATTACGAAAATGTCAACAACAACACACCCAATATTATCCCACACCGGGGATCTGGGGCTTATCACGAAAATGTAAAATAAATTAAATGTGCTAGTAGTAAAACTTTTAAGTTTGTCAGTTTAGGTATCACTGTAAAAGTCAATCCACTGGAAATTAAAGTTTGGAAATATCAGCTTTTATACAAGGTTTTGTTATTAGCTGAAGATTTCTAATTTGGAGAAACGTGTCCAAATCTTTCTCAATACACCAAAGCCACCGCAGTTTCTTCTAACGCAAGGCATATAGACAATGGCCTTTACATTAAAATACATCCAAAAATTCAACATCATCTCATCTGTCAGTTTTTTATACATCACTCCAAGATTTCACATCATCTCATCTGTCTAACTTTCTAAAGATTACACGCTTATCCAGAAGCAAATTTCGGATTTAAATTTAATTGGTTCTAACATCTAATATTCACAATTAAACTTATTATACAGTTAAAAGTATGAGTTCAAATCTAGTTTTATTGAGATTTTAGTAGGTCGAAATTCATGAATTCATATGAACCCGTAGCTATAGGGCGAATAGTAGCCCCTGCGCTTATCCTCGAGGGATTGAGATAGATTGGATCTCTCTGTTTTTATTCAAAAATATCGGGTTTAGATTTCAAAAATAAAAATTGGTATAAAATGCTTCTCTTTAAAGGTTTTACACGTTCAAATTCAAATTTTTAGGGCAGGTAAGTACCAAAAATCTTAATATCAGATATCAAATGATTGTAAAAATTTTTTGGGGGCTTAACAGAAGTTCTTTACTTTGTTTACAAGTTTGTATATCGTTATGATATGTACCTCTATTATGAAAAAAAATGTTTACTTTATTTTTTAAGGCAAATAATTGAAAATCAAGATGAAACATATCTAATAAGAATATGAAATGAATATTGAGAATTCATATAATCTTCACTAACTATCCTCGATATATATGTAATAATAGCAGTTGATGTTGTACCAAAATTAAATAACAGTTATACATTTATATCAATTTGACACTCGATTGGTTTAATTGGAATCTAAATGGAATGACTAGGTTAGTAATGAATTACACAATTATTTTCAACTATTTTCAAGATTGAGACGTTGGTTATTAATGATTTATATAATTAATTTCATCTATTTTTGGATTGAGAGATTGATGGGAAATGATTCCAAACTAGTTTTAGGTAGAGACATGCTTCATCTGTTTCAATTTATGTATCTTATTTTTAGTGTTTTTAAAAATGAATGTCAACTTTTATATTTTAGTGAGTTTTAAATTTTGAGCTCACCTATTTATTTTAACTAGCCTTATGGTACGTGCGTTGCGCGTGTACCTATATTAACGAGTACACAATTTTAAAAAAATTACGTAAATATTATCTGATTGTATATTTGACTAATTTAAAATTATATAACAAAAGTTAAAGAAATATTCTTGAAACTGTTGAATGTTGTTCCCATTTAGTTAACTCAATAAATGAAGAAATCTTGAGCAACGTAAGTTTTTAGATGCTTTATTGTGATTTACGAGTATGTGTGAGGTTTCATGAAAATTATTGTTATTTTAATGACTTAATACTAAAAGCAAGACACAAAAGAGAATAAAAAGGTTGGTCTTATAGCTCCAAAACTTAATATTGACAATGTAAAGTTTAAAAAATGAATGCGATTGAATTAATATCTCACAATAAATAATTTAATAAAAAAAATAGTGCGAGGCATTGTCATTGGTTGGACTAAATTCAAGGGAAAAATGACAATTTATTTAAAATACATTTTTTCCTACTATTTCATCCTTAAATTTCATACAAAAATACATACCATTTATTAGTATAATTTCGATATATAAATTTCAGTTTCTTATTTATGTTTCACTTATCCGATTGCGTTTGAGCTTTAACATATATAAGTTCGACAAAAATATTAAAGATATTATAGTCATTATTACTATAATTATATTATTTTCAAATATATAGTCTTGCCATTTTTAAACTTAGTTATAGATAATACCTGATATGTTTATATGTTTGGTTTACGATGTACATGGGACTTCAATAGTTGTAAACTTGATATTATAAAGTCAAAAAAGTAATTACAATTGAGTTAATAACTACTATAAATAGTTTAATATAAAAAAATATAGTGAAATTATCATTCGTAGGACTGAATGCTAGAAAGGAAAACATTAAAAATGACGACTTATTAATAATATACTTTATCTTTTACTATTTCATTCTTAAACTTCTTATAAAGAAAAGGTACAATTTATTACTATTAATTTAGATATATAAATTTTGGTTTCTTATTTATGCTTCAATTATCTAATCGAGTTTGTGCTTTAACATGTATAACTTCAACAAAAAATATAAAATACATTATAGTTTATTATTACTATAATAATTGTAATTATTTGAATAACAGAATTGTTGTCTTTTGTAAGCTTGCTTATAGATATTTGTTTTTTACTCTTCATGTTAGGTTTATAGGTTTGATTTACGATGTATAAGAAACTTCAATAATTTGGACTTAAAATTAAATCTATTGTTTATTGGTAAATTTAATGCACATGTACACTTTTATTACTTTAAGTTACTTGTTGTAAAGAGGATAGTGAATAACCTTTAAAATATTCACACTAAAAGAGTAACATTTTATATTTATTCTCTTTCAATTAATTTTTTTTATTATTTTACTAAAATAGTAAAATTCTAAAGAATTAAGCGGCGATAATTCTGAAACAAAGACAACACTCCTAAACCTTGAAGGAGTTCTAGTACACGCTAGTT